CTTGATAATTTAATCCTTGAGTGGATTAAATTTTCTCATATGCTTCCATCGAGTTAATAATGCCTTGTTAGTGAATTCTTGTTAGACTTGTGAATTTAACTTGAATTCCATGGACTTTATTCTTTTTACCAAGCATCATGAACATTTGTATCTTGATCTCATTAATGTACTTAATGAACATGCCCATTTGTCTTGGAATAGTTTAATTACACATGTGTTGCTTAGAAAGTAATTAAATCATGTATCTTATACTTGTGGTATATTTACTTCAATGAACTCCATGTACTATGTATCTTTGTTGTTGTCTATATAGTTGCACACTATAATTTCTTGACATTTCACATGCTATGATAGTTGATGAACTTAGGGCATGACTTGTGTGTTCCAAAATCTTAGTTGTGCATGAAACGTAGTTAATGCATTTATGGTATTTGATACAATCTTGGGTGCACAACTTGTTGATTTTGGGACTTGGGATATCAATCAAGAATTTTCATGGCTAAGACTTGGTTCTAGTACGGGGGATTGTCCTCCTACACTATAGTGCGCACTAAGGGAAAGGTACCCATGGGTTAGTAGCCCTAAAGTGATCTCAAGAGTACGGTTTTAATCCGGGCGATATCCGAGTTTCTACATTGGTTGATTTCGCTCTTTAAATTTCAAGTTGCTATTCCTTGAAGATTTAAACTTGTCATGTTATGTGAAATGCACCAATCTTGTTAAATCGCATAGATTTTATGCTTTATTCTTGATTCTATGTATAATTCATATCTTGTAAGTTGGAATGCTCCAATCTTGTTTAATCACATAGATATTATGTCTTGTTCTTGACTTCATGTATTATTCCTATTGTGTTAATTGGAATGCTCCAATCATGTTAAGTTGCATAGATTTTATGCCTTGCTCTTGGTTTCGTGTGTTATTTCCGTCGTGTTAATTGGTACGTACTAATCATGTTAATTGCATCGATAATGTAATTCTTGTTAACTTGTATTCAAGTATCCTCCTTATCGTGTTATACAGATTAGAGTAAACCTTGTTTAATTGTATTAAAAATATAATTCATGTTGATCTGCACTCAAGCATCCTTTTTGTCGTGTTCTTTAGATTATCGCAATCTTGACTTGCTGCATATATGTAGATATATCATGATTCTTGTTGCTTATGCTCCATGGTAGCTTAGGATGATCCCTGAGTCTAATCTTTGACATAGACGTTAGGTGGCATGATCCCTTTTGAACTATATCATGTTAGTCCTAAAAATCTCTAAAGAAATCGAGTCGATGCATGCTCATTCTCTACGAGTAAACTTGTTTACTCACCCCGAAGTTACTGGGGGATTTGTTCAGGTATAAAGACTTGGTTCGTGATGCTCGTCGCTCCTTCGAAGGCTTATAGCTTTCGCATTTCCATTTCATGCAAGTGTTCGCATGAAATGCTATGTTTGTAACCTTTTGTATCAAACTTGTATTATTTGATTCTAAATATGTAAAGTGTACATAAGTACACTCCTTTTCATTATATTCAACATGTATAAGATGAGGCCGGAGGCCAATATCATGTATTATGTATTCATTGCACTCTTTAACTTCAAGAACATTGTGAAAACCTTGAAAAATTCATAAGTCATTGTAGCATAACTTTTGCATCGGGCGTGGGAATTCCATTCTTTCTATTCCATAGGGTTTCAATGATCATGTATGAGGTGTGGCCAAGGGCCAAACACCATTTCATTCTAGGTTTTGCATCGTGGTTCCATTTATAGTGTTTAGGCATTTTTGACCATAGGAGGTCATATTTTGCATTCTTGGCATTTTAAAGCCGCGGACCATTGGAACGCGTCTTAAATGTCTTTCTACGTTTGTGTGCATGTCCACATTGCACAAAACCCTTGAGTTTCAACTTTTGACTTATTTTTGGGCGATTTCATGAATTTTTATGAAAAATTCCTCCACGGAGTGTCATTTTGAGTTCCCTCTTGTTTTAGCATGTTTTAAATGCTTCAACGATGTTAAGAGATGTTTTCAAACATGTAAGGATCATGTAGAAAGCTTAGAGAGCCTTAGAAACGGACCATACATCACACACACACACACATTGCAGTAGCTTTTCTCAGCTGCAGCAGATGTGTCGGCTGGCTGATGAAGCATCATCGGTCGACCGACGATTCTCGAGACTCCATTCCAGTAGGCCTTTTAGGAAAAACCTTGTTTCAACCGGCTGACGATTGGGGTTCGGCCGACCGACGGTTGAGTTTCAGTCAGCTGAAGGTTGTATTTCGGTCGACCAATCCTCCCTGGAACATTCAGCTTTTAGTTTTCCTTGGGCAGCTTTGTTGTTCCGACTTCAGAAGGTCATATCTTCTTCATTCATGATCCAAATTTGGTCATTTTTTATTCTAAGTTCAAGAACTCGAGGTTAGCTTTCCAATGATACTAACCACTCTTCAGAACTCCACTTATTGTGAGAGTTATTCCAGTTTTAGTAAGATAGGTTCGTGGTAATCTTTAAACGGCGAAGGCCACTCTGTTTTAAATTCATATCTCTTCCGTTCGAACTCAGAATCAGGTGATTCTTGAGTCTAACCTTGTTCATTTGTCATTGTCTTTCCAATGGTGTGCTCAGTGGCACCCATTTCAATTTAGAAACGACTATTTTGCCCTTGGTTCATTTCTTTTCGGATTAGGTATTCTTGCTTCATTTGTTTGGCTCATGTGAGTTTAGTGGCTTTATGGGGAGTTACTTCAGTGCCTTAGGGATGACGTACATCTCTTAAGGCCATTCCAATTCTTTTTGCTTCCGCATCTTGGATCCGATTAGGGTCATCACAGGACACGCTGGATTGAAAAATCCAGGGTCGTCACAGAATCAAACACTTCTCTTGGTTCCCCCCTCACTATGTGATGCAAATTTCCTTGAATCCCACCTAACATTTCAATTCCTTGGGAATTTGTTACATTTGAAGTAATAATGAATGATAAATCTCTATCAACACCCAAGGAAGTATACTGAAGCTTATTTGATGATTCAAGCTTAAGTTTAGGAGTAGATTCAATGGAAGGAGGAATTGGCACACTTGGGACTAATTGAAGAGGCAATTTTTGTGAAGGAATTAAGTGGGAATCTTCGACCACTTTTTCAATGTCATTCAAACACAATTGCTTAAATTTATCCGAAGAATTGGGAGTAGCATTGAAGATATTTAACATGGCACTCATGTGCCCAAAAAAGATTTTCATCACCCCATTCCTACAATTTATGTTCGCATTGGCGGTGGCCAAAAAGGGATGGCTAAGGATGACTGGAATATGACTTTTAGGGTTGTGGACCGGTTCCATATCAAGGACCACAAAATCTACTAAAAATTAAAATTTGTCCACTTTGATTAGAACATCTTCAACGATCCCACACCGTTTCTTAATAGACCAATCGGCTAATTGTAAGACAACCGGCGTGGGTTTTAACTCCCCCTAACTTAATTAGAGATACACCGAGTGAGGAATGATATTTACACTCGCTTCTAAGTTCAAAAGAGCCCTATGAATTACATGATCACCAATGGTGCATGAAGCAGTAGAAGATCATGGATCTTTGAACTTGGGAGGGGTGTTGTGAAGAATGATTAAGCTTACTTGCTCGGTGAGAAGAACTTTCTTTGATGTTTGGCTTTTGGACTTCCTCTTTTGAGTGCACAAATCCTTCAAGAACTTGGCATATATAGGCAGGAATTTGACGGATTGCATCAAGAAGAGGAAGGTTGATTTTAACTTGCCTAAACATTTCCATCATTTCATGTGTCTTATTATCATGTTTCCCTAAAAGAGATGAACTTTTCAATGCTTGAGGAAATGGAACCTTTGGCTCATAGGGCCTCTCAACTTAAGGGAAAGACAATGATGATGATTAGGGTGATTTATCCTTATTGTGACCACTTTCTCCAAGTGAAGTAAGAATAGACTTCGGAATGGACGGTGGAAAAACACTTGGTTGCACTGGATCACTAGCTTCACTAGGTTTCTCTACATTGTTATCCACTACTATACCACTTCTCAAGATGGTTATGGCATTCACTTACTCATGGATGGGAAATCCTAATGAGGGATTTGAATCTACCTTGTAAGTCTTCTTTTGGCTAGGCTCGGGTTAGTTAGGCAACTTACCCTTTTCTCTCACATTTAATGAATTAGCTATTTGCCTAATTTAAGCTTCAAGCTTTGAAATTGATTGAGAATGAAAATGGAGCAATTGATTGTCAGCTTCAAGGCCATTTAAGGCCGACAAAACCTTTTCCTCAAAGGCGGGACTCCTAGGAGGTGCTTGAGGTATAGTAGAGTAAGATTGAGAATTGGAAGCTTGAGGGTGAGAGTATTGATTCACATTGGAAGGATGACAAGATGAAGGACGGTACCCTTGAAAATTTTGAGGATTTTGGAAGTTTTGGGGAACATACTTTGCTTAGAAACTTTGATTTTAAGGAGGGTTACACCGTCTCCATGGTTTTTCCAAGCAAAGTTAGGATGATCCCTCCAACCCAGATTATATGATTAGAGTATGGGTTGTTCCCTTGATTGGTGAAAGCGACATTCACTTGTTCTTGAGGCTCCCTTAGAAAGACTTATCCAAGAAGACAATTGGAAGTATTATGGGTGTAGCTAGAACAAGTCATACACAGTTCACTTTAACGATGAGGAGAGGGAGATGATTGATATGAGAGATTTTGATTTGAAAGAAATTGATCAAATATTTGAGTTAGAGTTTTCACGATAATTTCCATTGAACTTTCCACTTGGGAAACATTTTTCTTTCCTCCCACATTTGCATTATGGCTTAACCTAGAAGATGAAGAACGATGCATTGAATTTTCACTTATGTTCTTAAAAACACGCCAAATGTCATCCTCATTCTTTTCTAATTAGGTTCCTCCGTATAAAACATCAACCATGCCCTTGTTGGCATCGAATAAGCTTCCGTAGAAGTATTGAACTAATTGCCACTTTGGAAGGTCATGATGTGGACACTTCCTTAGCAAATTGTTTAAACACTCCTACGCTTCATGCAAGGGTTCTCCATCCTCTTGGGAAAACTCACGGATTTAAGTTCTCATTGCGTTGGTTCTATTTGCGGGGTAATATTTCTTTAGAAACTCTTATTGTAATTGTGTCCAAGAGGTGATTTTGTTGCCCCCAAGTTATTGAACTAATACTTAGCTTTGTCCCGAAGAGTGAAAGGAAAGAGTTTCATTCTCAAAACTTCTTTGGGGACATCCGTGATTTTCATAGTAAAGCACACTTCCAAAAATTCATCTAAGTGTTTATAGGGTTCCTCATTGCTCAACCCACAGAAAAGAGAACACATATTGATGGTTGAAGCCTTAATCTCATAATGGTTGGCCCTAAATTTCGGCAATTGAATGCATGTTGGCGCATCATACACATTAGGGGTGTAATGATCCCGAAATACCACTTGAGGAAGAGGAGGAGCTTGAGCTCCGGGAGGATTTTGCACTACATTGGCCCTAGGGCCTCCTTGAGGTGGAATTTGCATTAATGGGGGTGCCTGCATTCTTAGAGGGATTTGCATTAGAGGAGGTGGTTGCCTCCCAATGGGTGGTGGAACCACATTTGGTCCTGGCATGCCAAGAGGTTGTTGTATATTATTAGGATTTTGGACATTATTTGGGTGATACATACCTTGGATATCTACAAAACCTAGATCCTCAACTTCTTCTATTAAAGTGATTGAGTGGTCAAGAGTGGGAATAAGTCTATTAGAACTAGACCAAGCATACACCAACAAGTCAACACACCAACAACTTCAATCAACAACGATTTCCAACCTCCATATACGATGTCCCTATACTCCCATGTTATATCAATACACAAAATTAATGGCCACGACAAGGACCCATGATATTGCAATAAAGTAATAGCCTCGACAAGGGCCTATACTTGGACAAGAAATTAAACAATGTAATTGCCTCGACAAGGGCAATCTCAAGCATATAAAGAAATAGACAACTAGGCTACAAGAGTTTAAATATTCTTCACAAAGGTCCTAAGAAATGCTTGAAGATTCAATTCTTGCTTCAAGGTCCAATGTTTGCCTTCCTTGTAATCAAGTACCTAATTGACAAGCAGTAAGTAAGAAAATAAAATAAAATAAATTAAAGCAAGCAATCAAACAAGCACTAATGCCTAATTCAGTTTCAAACCGTCAATCCCTGGCAACGGCGCCAAAAACGTGATGCTTCTTTGTGTGTGTGCACTTTTGTGTACAACTTTTGAAATGTGATTTAGAAATGTCAAGTGAGCAACAACTTTTAAAATTTATCTAAAAGCCACTTTACACTTATACTATGGAGTATGAAGTGAGAAAGAATTGTCCCAAGAGATTGAACAAATGGTTGGAATTGAACTTGAACTTAGTGCTAATGTAATTGTAAAAGACGTTTGGTTTGGTGATTAAAACTATAATCCAATTAAACAATGTAATGTAAATTAAATGCTAAAGTGCAGATTTTAAGAGATTGAGAAGGATTCTTAAGGCATAGGAATCACCACTAACCACCTTCCCTAAACCACAAGCCTTTATCTATTTGGGGAAAAATCATGTCGTAAACCAAATGTGACTACTAATTGCATCAATGAGCATGGCTATCAAAATCAAGTATGAATTATCCACTTAACTACAAGCATGAATTAAAGTGTAGTGCAATTCATCAAACTTAAGCATAAACCATCTAATTAACCAACAATTGTAGTACATATTAATCTAGAGAATAATGCAATTTGCAACTAGTAAGCATGGATATCAAATTCAAGTATGGATTGTCTACCTATCTAGGAATTTAAATGCAATTACACTATAATTAAACTAAGACGATGAAATTAAAAATGTAGTACAACCCATCAAGCATAAGCATAATTCATCAAATTAATTAATAATTGCATCTAATGAATACCATGCATAGCCATCACTAGATTCTTGATGAGCGCTGAAAAGTGCGCATTTAAACCCCTTAAGCTCTAGTACTCTAGGACCTTTATCTATCCTACTTTCCCATTTTAGACTAATTTTATGTTATTGCCCTTTTTAGGTGCTTATCCCAAAAATAAGTTAATTTAGCTAAATAAGAGCATTAAAGAAGTTATCTCAAGTTGAATGGAAAAAAGGAGCAAAGTAGAAGCAAAATGAAGCAAAAGTGTGAAAAATCAGCAAGTTCGATCGATCTTAACATTCCTTCGATCGATTAGAACAACATCGATCTGGATACTTCAAGATGGATCCAAGCCTTTATCGTTAACCAAAAGATTCAACCATACTCGATCGATCCAACTTATCTTCGATCGATCGAAATTATTCGATCTTATCCACACCTACCACCCCACCTACCACTTTTATCTCTTTTCCAAAATATTTCAGAGATTTATCTTTACTCAAAAAGGCGCCGCTAAGGATGATTGATCTCTGCAGCATTCGATGGATCTCACCAATGTTCGATCGATCTCAACACAATTCAATCGATCGAACCTCCTCAAGTTCGAATTAAAACAAAGTCCAGCTCATTAAAAGTTGGCTTATGATGCAATCATTGCAAGGACCCTAGTGCACGAATCCAAACCATTGGGTGTGTGACACTTGACCCTCCTATATAAGGATTTTGAGCCATTCATATCAAATGATTGAACAAAGAATTGAAGATAGCATATACATCTCATATATTGGAGAAGAGGCTAGAGACTAGAGAGCTTTTACACATCTTTGGGAGTTCTTCCATTCTTCTAGGGTTTCCTTCAAGAAGGAGTTCATGCCTACCATGGAGATAGCCCTTGAGGGTTGGATGACTACTTCAATGAGTGGCTAAACATCTACTTGGGGCTAGAATAGCCCCTAAGTTTGCTTCCTAGACCTAGTGTTTTGTATATCTTTAGGGATTTACTTGTAATAAATGTTTTAATCTTGGATTTATATATATATATATATATATATATATATATATATATATATATATCTTGTGGTTTCTACTTGATGTGTATGGATTAATGCTTCCAATTGATTATCTTTTTCTAATCATTTGTCTATATATGCTAGAATGGATGATTCATGTGCTTTTCTCTAGATTTAATAGAATTTATGCATGTCTATGTGTTTGGATGAAGTTAATCTAGTGATGATCAAAACATAGTGCTTAATTGAATGCTCTTGCAATTTTTGATGGTTCACACTTGTTTCTTGATGGATTGTGCCACACCCTTAGCTTACTTAGTTTAATTTCCATGTCTTTAGTGTAGATGTAGTGTACTTGCTTTAGATTCATAGATCGGTGGACAATCTTTTCTTATTCCTTGGTGTCCTATACTTATGAATGCAAGGGTGTATGTTTTTAAATAGTTGTGTGTGCATAAATTGTGGTTTCATTGAATGGATTTTGGTCTCATTTGATAGGTTGTGCTTTCCATTTGAATTGGCTAGGCAATCTATACTTATTTGTCATCTATGCCTAGTTTCAATTAATGTCACACACACACACACACAAATTACAATTCAATTTCCCCATTGAAATACAATTGCTAGTGTCTAGTGAAGTCAAGCTTAGTGGTGAGCTCTAGTACACCCAATCCTCTCCTCTATATCTTTTTCTCTATCTTACAAATCATTGTATTTTGTTTGCTTCAACTAATTTGCAAAGTAGTTTAATCAATCAATCCAACCATCTTTTGATCACTCGACCTACTAACCCTATACCTTGTTTCCATTGCAAACACGCCCACAATCCCTTGGGATGATCCCTACTCACCCTAGCTATATTTTAGTTAAAGATAGTAGTGGCATTTATAAATTTAAAACTTGGCCACATTGCACACTCACACTTTTTTGCACAAATTTGGAGTCATCACTACGGATAGCACCAATTCTCAATTAACCACATATAGACATACAATTAACAAAGAAAAACTAGTGTACAGATCAATTCCCAAATAATCACACATAAGACAACACGTAATCACATAGCTAGAGAATTAATTGGAAAAATTAAACCATAGGAATTAAAGAAAAACCCAAGATTCATTATATACACAAGGCTAAAACATCATTTACAACAATTAATTCCCTAAAAGATTAAAGAAGAGCAAGGGTTTAGGTTACATGCTTAGGACTCATCGAAGCCTTAAGGTGAAGTCTAGCCAAGCATGGAGAGGAAGGGAAGCATCAAGGAGCCTTCATGATCCATCTTCAAGCCTTGGTCAATCTTCTTCTTCATCTTTTTGTTCTTGCTTGTTCTTGAAACCCTAGCTTCTTGCCTCCACTTCTAACCCTAATCTAGATAGAGAACCTTATGAACTAACTATTATAATATGAAAAGTAAATAAAATAAAGGCTCACCCTAACAAAATGGTTCAAAATCCTTTTTATACAAGACCTTTGGAGCCTAAAACAAGTTATAAATATGCCCTAAAATGGTCCAATCCTGTAGCTAAAATATTAGTGAAAGTTTGGCAAAAATGGTGTGGGAAGATATTTTGGACTGCCAGCAGACATGTGATCGATCGTAGGAAGTGGCGATCGATCGCCGATGACATGGCAGATTCGATCATATCCGAATTGATGACATGGCGCAGATATGGCAAATTTGATCATATCCAAATTGATGACATGGCACTGATGTGGCAAAAAATATTTGCTTTGGCCTTATCACTGTGGAGCTAAAGCTGTAATCAATCGCTAGGAGCTATAATCGATCGCAGCCCCCCTGACTTGGCAATTTTCTGAATTTTCTAAATATTTTTTGGAATTTTCTCAGAACTTTTGCTTGACTCCTAAAAGGTTGTAATGGACCATTTTTAGCCCGTTTGAACCTTATTGACCTGAAATAGACAAAAACACAAATTAGAATTAAAACAAAAAAATAAAGATAGATGAAGGGACTAAACTACCCTAGCTTAGGTGCTAAAATGTGCAACATTTGAGCACTTATCATACTTAGTACTTCATTGTTAGGGACTAGCAATATCTAAGTTTGGGGGTGTGATAAGTGCTGAAAAATTGCACATTTCAGCCCTAATCTCGAGTATTTTAGACCTTGCGTCTATCTTTACTTTCCTATTT